ATGGGATTCATGTTGGGTTCTTCTCTGACTTCTTATTCATGCCTTTACTGCACATATTTTTCAGCTGCAACCCATTAAGGCCAAAATACTGAGATTCCTCCAGATAAGATGCTTCCAGGGACTGGTGCTTTAAAACAAACAGCAAATCTTAAGTTCCTATAAACTGACATAACTGTTAGAGTAAGAAAACATACCCAGTGCCTACTGCAGAACATCTAACATTGCTCTAGAGGCTGACTCTGCTCCTGTCCACATCATGTGAAAAGGAAATAATGTAAACTGGTGGTCACATTGCAACACATCAGCTCTGTTAAGCTGTTCAGTTTTAAGTCTCCTTTAACAGTCAGTGCTTCAAATTGTAACGTCATCAAATTTCACATTAAATAGGGTCAGGCTGGATTAGTTCACTAATCTCTGACTTGAAAGCATATCCCAGGATACTGAGGAAAAAGAAATTGGTGATCCATTAGGTTGTAGTATTCTGACAGAGTTTATTGGTACTGCACTTTATATACGGCAGTGGGGGAAATGTGTGTGGGGGGGAGGGAAACTTTGGTGAGAAGTGCTGTCTTACCAGCTGTAATCATTTGCAGGAAATGTCATGGGAGCATAAGAGCTGGGGTGTTGCCTCCATAACTTGAATCTACTGTAACTTGACTTATTACATCCCACCTATTTAGAAATCCTAATAGGATGCAGGATTAGCACATAAAAATCTGAACCTGTCCTATAACTCTCAGGATGGACAGCAACTCTATTTAGATCTTTGCCTGAGGTCCTCAATACAGCCAGGATAAAATTAGGACACTGACTGTCGTCAGTGCTGCTCCTAGGTTGGGGGAATCAATCTGAGGAATCACGAGCACTGAGGACAGGAGTGACAGAAAATGAATGAAGGGTAGTCTCCAGTATGGACCACTAGAGTACTGCACAATCCCAAAACAAGGACTCCAAAGAAGCAGCAGACATACTGTACCCCACAACGTATGTGATCAGGCAGCACCACCAGGTTTTCTGTGGTGCCCTCAGATGTTCCATGCTGTTCACTCATTGCAATTTTCCTGGAGTAAACTGGTTCTCTCTCGTCTTCTGCCTCTGTATCAGTCACAGAATCACAGCCAGAATCTAGACAAAAAACAGAGCCATTATGATATTCACATTTGCTACAAATACCTTGGTATATCAAACAAGAAAAGATGGAAAGTAAGAAAAAACAGAAATTGCTGTAATTCTTTTAACAAAGTCTTAGAAAAGGAGATCTAGCTGAGAAAGGGGAAACTACTGAGGTTTCCTCATTTATTCCCTGAAGGGGATGGCTGGGGACTGTTTGCAAAGATGCATATGGCACACAGAAGTGCTGCAGCAGCACTTAATAAGCTTATTCACCAGAAAATCAGTTCTGTGCTGAGACAATCAGACCCATTCTCAACTGGTTAAAAAAAAATATCAGACAATACAGTAACATTTCTTAAAGGAATCTTATCAACAGCTGAATCTGCCCAATTCTAATAATAGCAAGGTAGGCATGTATCTGTCACAATTCTCTCCCAAAGCAAATAAAGGCTAATTTCTCTCCCATAACTTCAATGCAGAGGGTCTGCTTGTATAACTCCCCACAAACCCCTGGGTTAAAAAATGCACCAACCTGCAGTACTCTGACCTAGTAATCCAGCTTCTGAAGAAGCCACAGGTACTTTTTAAGACAGGGGTGGGAAATTATTTCAGCTGAAGGGCCACTTAATGGGTTTTAGTGAACTATCAAGGGCTGCACACATAAAATCTTTCAGAAGATATCATTTTAACTAATTATAGATGAAAAAAATCACACACTAAAAATCAAACATCTACTATAACATTTTATTTTTAAAAATGCCCCGGTTTATGTTTTTTTGAGTAGTGTATATAAACGTGATTGTATAATAGCTTAAAATAAAGTCTTACTCTTGTATATTGTGTGGGTGAGGAGGTGGAGGGTGGGCATCGGTGGGTGGAGGGGTGTGCATGTGTGGAGGGCTGCTCATATGCAGGGTCCCAGGAGCCAGCCAGGAGTGAAGGAAGAGAGGAGCAGGCATAGGCAGTAGAAGTGGGAGGGCTAACGGGGCCTATCCCCCCCAAACGCAGGGCAGAGGTAGGGCCACAAGGCAGCCTGCCCGAGGGCTTCCAGCTGCTGCAGCAGGGGTGGGGAGGGAGTGGGGCTGGGGCTAAGGGAGGAGCAGGCACTGTACAGCCAGCGGGAGGTGGGACTGAGCCATG